GTGAACAACTTACTCCTAAATACAGTAGGAAAAGAAGAATTAAGAAAGAGAAAACAGTAAGAATGGAAAAATCAGGACAAAAATCTTTAAACAAAATTATAGAATAAAACCAAATATGTTTATAATTACAATAACCAAGAATGGAGTAAAGTAATAGCTGATAATAAAAAGTAATGGACTGAATAATGAAAATCTAGCCATATGCAGATTATGAGATATATCCCAAAAATAAGAAAAAATAAAATTTGAAATTTAAGGACAGTTCCAGATAATTTAGTCATATACTAACAAAACAAAAAAGCTGATATAAGTGAGAAATATTTGGTACTTCTGTTCTTGATAAATCAACAGACAAAATTAATACTTTATGCAAATTGAATATTATTACTATGCTTGAACTAACAGATACATGTATTATTTTTTTCATCCAGCAGTAATTAAATATACATTATTACTAAATATTTCACTTTCTAAACCTTTTCAATATCATTTCATATCACCGTTCATCCTGCTTTAATTAAATACAACACACTGCGTAGCTTATAAACAACAGAAATTCGTTTCTCAAGGTGGCAGCATGATCATGACCTGGTGAGGGCCCTCTTTCTGGTTCATAGCCATTGCCATCTCACTCTGTCTTCACATGGGGGAAGGGGCAAGCAATCTCTGTGGGGTCTTTTTTATAAAAGCACTAATCCCACTCATGAGGGCTCCATTATCATGACCCAATCACCTCCCAAATGCCCATCATCTGATACCATCATCTTTGAGGGTTAGGATTACAACAAGTGAATCCTGGGGGGACACAAACCTTCAGACTATATCATTCACTAAAAGAAACATTTTTGAAAATGAACACATGCTGGGTTATAAATTTAGCCTCAAGAAATATTAATGAAATCATTTTAGACTGATTCTCTGACACAGTGCTAAGCTATGAAAAACTGCAAAGTAAATTTAAAATGTCAATATCAATAACAAGTAATATTGATAATCATGATTAAACATGTTGAATCCAAGTAAGACTGTCTTTGAAGGAATTTTGTTACTGTAATGAAAAAATAAATAATAGATTGAAAATAAAACATTTGGGCTTCCCTTGTGGCGCAGTGGTTGAAAGTCCGTCTGCCAATGCAGGGGACACGGGTTCGTGCCCCAGTCCAGGAGGATCCCACATGCCGTGGAGCGGCTGGGCCCGTGAGCCATGGCCGCTGAGCCTGCGCGTCCGGAGCCTGTGCCCCGCAACGGGAGAGGCCACGGCAGTGAGAGGCCCGCGTACAGCAAAAAAAAAAAGTAAAGAAAACGTTTAACTAGATAATTTTAGAATTTAGCTGAAGAAAATCACAATACTGTAAGTGAAAGAAGGAAAGTAAAAATATATGTAGATAAAGGCACAATGAAATGAATATATAAAAGGTAAAAATTGATTTATTCAAAAAAGACTAATTAAAAGGAAACAGAATTTTGGCAAAGAACAAGGACAGAAGTCATGGTTAATACTATTAGAACTGAATAAAAGAAATAACAATAACCACAATCCTAGCAGAGAGTAAAAGGAACTAAGAAAGTATTAAAGTAAAAGTCATGGCAGTAGATTTGGAAATGTAGTGAGAAAGAACAAATTAAAGAGAAAGTATAAGTTAATAACATATAATCCAAGAAGTAATCAAAAAGGAACACTTTTATGACAAATGAACTGATTTAAGAGTACTAAAACAGAAAATTCGGTCCCAGATGGAATTAGAGGTGAAAGTTCTTCCGAACTTTAAAGTAACATTTTAGCAAGCAATTTGATGAGAAGTAGTAATTAAAAAATGTGTATTTTCACTGTCTTGATGGCTGACTTCCTGTTTTACCCCTTCTACCCACTCTGTATACAGTCTGCATATTCTCAGATTGTCAGCTATTAAAAACAAATCTGAACCCTGTCTTCATGCATCTTGCCTCGTGCCACCATTTATCAGCCTTATTGCCTCATTTTTCTATAGCTGCCTTCCATTTGAGGTATAGTAGGAACGGAGAGTAACATAACAGAGACTTCCCTATTGTAGGAAATATGTGGGCACTCAATCCTTGGATCAAAAAGGCAGTACTGTGTCGTGGGTTTGCCCACACAACTCTGGGGAGGTATGGGAGGGAATTGAATATTGCCCTTCTGTCAATAAAAAGAAAAATTTTGAATTACAGGGGTGCTTGAATACCTCCCTGGAAAGAAGTACAGTGAAGTAGCAGCTGCAGTGATTTGGGACGTTCTGCAATGATCTATTCTATAGATATTTAGAGACCAAATTAGTTTAGAAAATGAAAATTTCCATATTGGGTATATTCAGTCTAGCCATCTTTCTGAAAGGGACATTATTTTCTGAGGCCTATTGTTGACTATAAATATCAACCTAAAATTTTACGTATATACTCCATAAAAATGTCTTTTAAAAAATTAAAGTTTTCTATCTTTGAATTTGTCTAAATTCTTTTTTTTTTGTAACCATGTATAATTTCAGTCTGTGAGCCTCTTTAGATGATGAAATTCCATAAGTCTACTAAGTGTTGGCTGAAATAACACATCCCTATATTTGTCTTAACATGACCTTAGAGGATGTGAATTTTAATGCTTGAAAGTACATGCTTAAAGGTGAATTAGGAATATCCTAATGACTCTACTTTTATACTTGAAAACAGGCAATCTCTTAGAATTCTAAATTCCCTTAAGGTTTCTCCTAATTTAAAAACAACATGTAAATAATAGGTTTAACAGATGTAGGTATTGAAACTTATGCTTTATAAATTAATAATCCAATTAATTGAAGTTTTAAAACCCTTTAAGGAAAGAATATTTCTAGCTACTTAAAAAAATAAAGGTAAACTGCTTCATTTGTGATTTAAAGCTTTATTCATATCCAAGGACAGAGTATACTCAAAGTCACCTGCAAGGTACAAAGTTAGTTTTGTGAAAAGTAAAGCATCCTTTCTCAATTTGATACCTTTTCTCAACAGAGGCTGACTCAAGTCAGCCTTTTTTGTATCCAAATGAAGTTATACTTCCTGATTGTGTGCTGTACCTCTGTTTATTGCTTTATTTTAGCCTAAGTATATTATACAGTGGCAACTAAGAATAATAACTATAATCAAAATTTAATCATCTCCAAAATATGATAGAAACTAGTATAGAATTTTTTATAGGGTAGACAGAGAGATGGAACAGTGAAGTCCAAATCAAATTGCCTTCTTTTTGAACAGAAAAAAAAGTAGAAAAAAAAGAGAGAGAAAAAAAGAACAGTAAATTTATTTAAATTTACTCTTTCAAGTTTTTTTTTCAGTCCAATTAAATTGGATCCCTAGTGTTTTATACTGACCTTATCTAAGAAATCATATTTCTGACTTTCTTTTATTTCTTTTGTATATATTTGAATGTGAGAATTGGTATTAAGTGTGTAATTTTAGCACGAAACATTTTAAAAACTTGAACATTGTTGCATTTTACTCTTAAATGGCAAATGTTTTCTTGACAACATGTTTTACAGACCTCATGATAAATTCTTACCATAGGGGTATATTTGTTTTCAGTGGATACATTAATATCATTTCTGTGTGCAGCTTAAAAATAAAAGGTCACACATTTTTAATGGAATCTATCACCTTGGTGTTGCTCTAAACATCAAATGCTTATTACTTTTCTTGCCATTAATACTTTTTGTAAGAATGGCATGCAGGTGATATTTTCCTGCGTAAAAGATTAACTAGTAAACAACTGACCTCATTTTGCCTTCTGTGGAGCAAAATCAGGTTCTGCTTGGATGCAGAAGTGGCTTATTGTAACACATCGGGTATTCTTAAGTGTCATCAGCAGTCTTCTCTAGCTGTTAGCGCATTATCCTGAGAATCTACATCATTACTTTAAATTAGGTTCACTTAATTAGCCAGCTGGTATTCTCCTTGTCAGACTGATACACAAGCTGTGTTTCACTGCTCCTTCATGTCAAGGCTAAACTCCAGGTTCAGGGTATCTTTGTTGCTATTCTCACTACTTCGCTCTGACAAAATAACCCATCTTTATATAAGTTGACACAACTGGTCCATAACCAGTGTAGCATCAGTTTTAAATTATTTGTAGTTGGTGCACCCCCCTCAAGGAATACTGATAAAAATTTTTCAACATCTTTATTGAAGTATAATTGCTTTAAAATGGTTTGTTAGTTTCTGCTTTAAAACAAAGTGAGTCAGCTGTACATATACGTATATCCCAATATCTCCTCCCTCTTGTGTCTCCCTCCCATCCTCCCTATCCCACCCCACTAGGTGGTCACAAAGCACCGAGGTGATCCCCCTGTGCTATGTGGCTTCTTCCCACTAGCTATCTATTTTACATTTGGTAGTGTATATATATCCATGCCACTCTCTCACTTCGTCCCAGCTTACCCTTATCCCTCACCATGTCCCCAAGTCCATTCTCTAAGTATGTGTGTTTATTCCTGTCCTGCCCCTAGGTTCTTCAGAACGATTTTTTTTTTTTTTGGTTCCATATATATGTGTTAGCATACAGTATGTGTTTTTCTCTTTGTGACTTACTTCACTCTGTATGACAGACTCTAGGTACATCCACCTCACTAAAATAACTCAATTTTGTTTCTTTTTCTGGCTGAGTAATATTCCATTGTATATATGTGCCACATCTTCTTTATCCATTCATCTGTTGATGGAAACTTATGTTGCTTCCATGTCCTGGCTATTGTAAATAGAGCTGCAATGAACATTTTGGTACATGACTCTTTTGAATTATGGTTTTCTCAGGATATATGCCCAGTAGTGGGATTGCTGGGTAATATGGTAGTACTATTTTTAGTTCTTACAGGAACCTCCATACTGTTCTCCATAGTGGCTGTACCAATTCACATTCCCACCAGCAGTGCAAGAGAGTTCCCTTTTCTCCACATCCTCTCCAGCATTCATTGTTTGTAGATTTTTTTTTTTTTTTTTTTGAGTTTAAATGTATTTTATTTTTAGACAACCTACATGACATGGTTTTTTTTTCCTCAAAAACAATGCCTCCGCTCCAAACAAATCAACATCAAAACAAAGAGCTCAAGATGACATCAGTCCCATTTGTCTAAGTCCCGGTGTTGTGTGGATGAAAAGCAGCAGCCAGCCGGTTATGACGAGCAGGTGATAGATCCAAACAGCCAAATCCGTTAACATTTTTCCATTTCTAGACCATCCTTAAAGAAAATCATATATGGCGTCACACCATCCTCACGGTAGTCCAGCAGAGCAACCATGCCATCTGGATTCATGTTTTCACCAGTAAAGAACTGATAGTTTTTGAAATTAGCAAGGATGTGCTTGATTTGTTCTGCGGCCCCCGTCATAAAAGGTTTTACTCTTTCTGGTCTCTGTTCTTCAAGCTTCCCTTTGATTGACTTCATGTAATCTTTGATGTACTTCTTGTAGGCTTCTTTTGTGAAGCTGGTTTCCTGCAAGTGATGGTTCATGACAATATCCACGCCAGTGATTACCGTGCTTTCGGTACCTTCGCCCTCGGGGCCTTCAGCGGAGGCATTTCCACCAATGAGCGAGTCATCAATGTTACCCTCTGTCCTACTGACCATCTTCCCCTCCACCTCCAGACACAGCCCGTCCGCGACCTCCCGGATCTTGTAGATGTCGGAGAACATCTCATCATGGCTGATGAGGTCCCGGTAGATGATCATGATGGCGACTGGAGGGAGACAACGGTGGCACTAGCTTAGGAGCACGGAGCTCAGAGCGAGCGCAGTGCAGCCGGAGCGGCGCTCGGGGGGAGGGGGGAGCGGGCGGAAAAGTGTTTGTAGATTTTTTGATGACGGCCATGCTGATTGGTATGAGGTGACACCACAGTGTAATTTGCATTTGCATTTCTCTAATGCTTAGTGATGTTGAGCATCCTTTCATGTGTTTGATGCAATCTGTATATCTTCTTTGGAGAAATGTCTATTTAGAACTTCTGCCCATTTTTGGATTGGGTTGTTTGTTTTTTTTACATTGAGTTGAATAAGCTGCTTGTAAATTTTGGAGATTAAGCCTTTGTCAGTTGCTTCATTTGCAAATATTTTCTCCCATTCTGAGGGTTGTCTTTTCGCCTTGATATGGTTTCCTTTGCTGTGCAAAAGCATTTAAGTTTCATTAGGTCCCATTTGTTTATTTTTATTTTTATTTCCATTTCTCTAGGAGGTGGGTCAAAAAGGATCTTGCTGCGATTTATGTCATAGAGTGTTCTGCCTATGTTTTCCTCTAAGAATTTGATAGTGTCTGGCCTTACATTTAGATCTTTAATCCATTTTGAGTTTATTTTTGTGTATGGTGTTAGGGAGTGTTCTAATTTCATTCTTTTACATGTAGCTCTCCAGTTTTCCCAGCACCACTTATTGAATAGGCTGTTTTTTCTCCATTGTATATTCTTGCCTCCTTTATCAAAAATAAGGTGACCATATGTGTGTGGGTTTATCTCTGGGCTTTCTATCCTGTTCCATTGATCTATATTTCTGTTTTTGTGCCAGGATCATACTGTCTTGATTACTGTAGCTTTGTAGTATAGTCTAAAGTCAGGTAGCCTGATTCCTCCAGCTCCATTTTTCTTTCTCAAGTTTGCTTTGGCTATTCGGGGTCTTTTATGTTTCCAAACAAATTGCAAAATTTTTTGTTCTAGTTCTGTGAAAAATGCCAGTGGTAGTTTGATAGGGATTGCATTGAATCTGTAGATTGCTTTGGGTAGTCGAGTCATTTTAACAGTGTTGATTCTTCCAATCCAAGAACATGGTATATCTCTCCATCTGTTTGTGTTATCTTTAATTTCTTTCATCAGTGTCTTATAGTTTTCAGCATACAGGTCTTTTGTCTCCTTAGGTAGGTTTATTCCTAGCTATTTTATTCTTTTTGTTGCAGTGGTAAATGGGAGTGTTTCCTTAATTTCTCTTTCAGATTTTTCATCATTAGTGTACAGGAATGCAAGAGATTTCTGTGCATTAATGTTGTATCCTGCTGCTTTACCAAATTCATTGATTAGCTCTACTAGTTTTCTGGTAGCATCTTTAGGATTCTCTGTGTATAGTATCATGTCATCTGCAAACATTGACAGTTTTACTTCTTTTCCAATTTGGATTCCTTCTATTTCTTTTTCTTCTCTGATTGCTGTGGCTAAAACTTCCAAAACTATGTTGAATAATAGTGGTGAGAGTGGGCAACCTTGTCTTCTTCCTGATCTTAGTGAAAATGCTTTCAGTTTTTCACGACTGAGAAAAATGTTGGCTGTGGGTTTGTCATATATGTACTTTATTATGTTGAGGTAAGTTCCCTCTATGCCTACTTTCTGGAGGGTTTTTATCATAAATAGGTGTTGAATTTTGTCAAAAGCTTTTTCTGCATCTGTTGAGATGATCATATGGTTTTTCTCCTTCAATTTTTTAATATGGTTTATCCCATTGATTGATTTGTGTATATTGAAGGATCCTTGTATTCCTGGGATAAACCCCACTTGATCATGGTGTATGATGCTTTTACTGTGCTATTGTATTCTGTTTGCTAGTATTTTGTTGAGGATTTTTGCATCTATGTTCATCAGTGATATTGGCCTGTAGTTTTCTTTTCCTGTGACATCTTTGTCTGGTTTTGGTATCAGGGTGATGGTGGCCTCATAGAATGAGTTTGGGAGTGTACCCCCCTCTGATATATTTTGGAAGAGTTTGAGAAGGATAGGTGTTAGCTCTTCTCTAAATGTTTGATAGAATTCGCCAGTGACGCCCTCTGGTCCTGGGCTTTTGTTTGTTGAAAGATTTTTTTTTTCTTTTTCTTTTTGCGGTACGCAGGCCTCTCAATGTTGTGGTCTCTCCCGTTGCGGACCACAGGCTCGGGACGCACAGGCTCAGCAACCATGGCTCACGGGCTCAGCTGCTCCGCGGCATGTGGGATCTTTCCGGACCGGGGCACGAACCCGTGTCCCCTGCATCAGCCGGCGGACTCTCAACCACTGCGCCACCAGTGAAGCCCTTGTTGAAAGATTTTTAGTCACAGTTTCAATTTCAGTGCTTGTGATTGGTCTGTTTATATTTTCTATTTCTTCATGGTTCCATCTCAGAAGGTTGTGCTTTTCTAAGAATTTGTCCATTTCTTCCAGGTTGTCCATTTTATTGGCATATAGTTGCTTGTAGTAATCTCTCATGGTCCTTTGTATATCTGCAGTGTCAGTTGTTACTTCTCATTTTTCATTTCTAATTCTGTTGATTTGAGTCTTCTCCCTGTTTTTCTTGATGAGTATAGATAGTGGTTTATCATTTTTGTTTATCTTCTCAAAGACCAGCTTTTAGTTTTATTGATCTTTGCTATCATTTCCTTAATTTCTTTTTCATTTATTTCTGATCTGATCTTTATGATTTCTTTCCTTCTGCTAACTTTATGGGTTTTTTGTTCTTCTTGCTCTAATTGCTTTAAGTGTAAGGTTAGGTTGTTTATTGGAGGTGTCTCTTGTTTCTTGAGGTAGGATTGTATTGCTATAAACTTCCCTCTTAGAACTGTTTTTGCTGCATCACATAGGTTTTGGGTTGTTGTTTTTTCATTGTCATTTGTTTCTAGGTATTTTTTCACTTGCTCTTTGTTTTCTTCAGTGATCTCTTGGTTATTTAGTAGTGTATTGTTTAGCCTCCATGTGTTTGTATTTTTTATAGAGTTTGTCCTATAATTGATATCTAGTCTCATAGCATTGTGGTAGGAAAAGATACTTGATACGATTCAATTTTCTTAAATTTACCAAGGCTTGATTTCTGACCCAAGATATGATCTATCCTGGAGAATGTTCCATGAGCACTTCAGAGGAAAGTGTATTCTGTTGTTTTTGGATGGAATGTCCTATAAATATCAATTAAGTCCATCTTGTTTAATGTATCATTTAAAGCTTGTGTTTCCTTATTTATTTTCATTTTGCATGATCTGTCCATTGGTGAAAGCTGGGTGTTCAAGTCCCCTACTATGATTGTTACTCTTGATTTCCCTTTTTGTGGCTGTTAGCATTTGCCTTATGTATTGAGGGGCTCCTATGTTGGGTGCTAGCTATTTACAATTGTTATATCTTCTTCTTGATTTGATCCCTTGATTATTATGTAGTGTCCTTCTTTGTCTCTTTTAATAGTCTTTATTTTAAAGTGTATTTTATCTGTTATGAAGATTGCTACCCAGCCTTTCTTTTGATTTCCATTTGCATGGAGTATCTTTTTCCATCCCCTTACTTTCAGTCTGTATGTGTCCCTAGGTCTAAAGTAGGTCTCTTGCAGACAGCATATATATGGGTCTTGTTTCTGTATCCATTCAGCCAGTCTATGTCTTTTGGTTGGAGCATTTAATCCATTTACATTTAAGGTAGTCATCAATATGTATGTTCCTATTACCATTTTCTTAATTGTTTTGGGTTTGTTATTGTAGGTCTTTTCCTTCTCTTGTATTTCCTGCCTAGAGAAGTTCCTGTAGTATTTGTTGTAAAGCTGGTTTGGTGGTGCTGTATTCTCTTAGCTTTTGCTTGTTTGTAAAGATTTTAATTTCTCCATAAAATCTGAATGAGATCCTGGCCGGATCGAATAATCTTGGTTGTAGGTTTTTTCCCTTTCATCACTTTCAATATGTCCTGCCACTCCCTTCTGGCTTGCAGAGTTTCTGCTGAAAGATCAGCTGTTAACCTTATGGGGATTGCCTTGTATGTTATTTGTTGTTTTTCCCTTGCTGCTTTTAATATTTTTTCTTTGTATTTAACTTTTGATTGTTTGATCAGTATGTGTCTTATCGTGTATCTCCATGGATCTATCCTGTATGGGGCTCTCTGCACTTCCTGGACTTGATTGACTATTTCCTTTCTTAGGGAAGTTTTCAACTATAATCTCTTCAAATATTTTCTCAGTCCCTTTTTTTTCTTTCTCTTTTTCTTCTTCTGGGACCCCTATAATTTGAATTTTAGTGCATTTAGTTTTGTCCCAGAGGTCTCTGAGACTGTCCTCAATTCTTTTCGTTCTTTTTTCTTTATTCTGCTCTGTGGTAGTTATTTCCACTATTTTATCTTCCAGGTCACTTATACATTCTTCTGCCTCAGTTATTCTTCTATTGATTCCTTCTATAGTATTTTAAATTTCATTTATTGTGTTGTTCATCACTGTTTGTTTGCTCTTTAGTTCTTCTAGGTCCGTGTTAAACATTTCTTTTATTTTCTCCATTCTATTTCCAAGATTTTGGATCACCTTCACTATCATTGCTCTGAATTCTTATTCAGGTATACTCCTCTTTTCCTCTTCATTTGTTAGGTCTGGTGGGTTTTTATCTTGCTCCTTCATCTGCTGTGTGTTTCTCTGTCTTCTCATTTAGCTTAACTTACTGTGTTTTGGGTTTCCTTTTCGCAGGCTGCAGGTTCATAATTCCCATTGTTTTTGGTGTCTACCCCCAGTGGCTAAGGTTTGTTCAGTGGGTTGTGTAGGCTTCCTTGTGCAGGGGACTGGTGCCTGTGTTCTGGTGGATGAGGCTGGATCTTGTCTTTCTGGTGGGCAGGACCATGTCTGGTGGTGTGTTTTGGGGTGTCTGTGACATTATTATGATTTTAGGCAGCCTCTCTGCTAATGGGTGGAGTTGTGTTCCTGTCTTGCTAGTTGTTTCGCATAGGGTGTCCAGCACTGTAGCTTGCTGGTCATTGAGTGGAGCTGGGTCTTAGCATTGAGATGGAGATCTCTGGGGAGCTTTTGCTGTTTGATACTACATGGGGCTGGGAGGTATCTGGTGGACCAATATCCTGAACTTGGCTCTCCCACCTCAGAAGCTCA